CGTTACGATAAGGCACTCTCCTTCTCACTCCTCCCCCCCTCGCCCGCCGCCGAAGCAACATCCCACAACCAACTCCTGCCTTCGCGCCATTCGCGTTCGCTTCCAAAGTGTGCCCAACCGCTTCACGGGGGGAGGGCAAGTCATTTTCACCTTAGCTCCACCGGCGGTGGGTCCCCCAAATTGGGGCTTCGACTCCGGAATTGGAAAAAGATCAATCCCCACCTTCAATATTGGAGTTCCCAAACTCCTACATCGAAAAAAACAAAAGGCGGAGTTGTCAAACTCTGGATTGACATATTGACCTTTCCCAATCTTGGGGTTCAATATTGAGGTCTTGGTCCAATATCGGGGTTCCAATACCGAAATTGGGGTTTCCGAAACCCGATATTGGGGTTTTTCAATTCCGGGGTTGGGAAGTCCAATATTGGACTTTCGATTGGCCTAGAGGCATATTTCCTCCTCCTCCTCCTCCTCCTCCTCCTCTTCCTCCTCCAGCTCCTCCAACTCCTCCTCCTCCTCCTCCTCCTCCTCCTCCTCCTCCTTCTCCTGCCTCCTCCGGTTGCTGCCGATCTTCATCGCTTAAATCCACGCCCGCTCAAAACAGTCACCAAGAGGCTCCAGTGACTGATTTGGGCCAGGCGCCCGTGGCAAAAAATATCTGCGCTACTTAGAGAGCTGCGTCAACCTTTAAGGTCCCGCGCGCCCGACCCGACCAGCCCGCTAGAGCAAGCGCACGCTACCTCGAGAGCTGCGTAGTGCTTTAATATCCCGCCCGCCCGACCCGACGGGTCCGCCAGGGCAAGCGAGTGCTACTTAGAGAGCTGCGTCAACCTTTAAGGTCCCGCCCGCCCGACCCGACCGGCCCCCTAGAGCAAGCGCCTGCAACCGCGAGAGCTGCGTCGTGCTTTAATGTCCCGCGCGCCCGACCCGACGGGTCCGCCAGGGCAAGCGCGTGCTACCTTGAGAGCTGCGTCAACTTTTAAGGTCCCGCCCGCACGACCCGACGGGCCCGCTAGAGCAAGGGCCTGCTACTGCGAGAGCTGCGTCGTGCTTTAATGTCCCGCCCGCGGGGCTCCGCCCCGCCCAAAACAGTCACCCAAGGCTCTTCGTGACTGTTCTGGGCGGGCGGGCCCAAAACAGTCACCAAACGACTCGGGTAACTGTTTTGGGCGGGGCGTGCTTTTCATGCTACGGCCTCCTCCTCCTCCCCTTCCTCCTCCCCCTCCCCCACTCTGCTCGTTATCTCTCCCCTGGGAAGTGCGAGCTTGTCCCTTTTCTCCTCTGGCCCTGCCTACGGCCTCGTAAGTTCAATATTGGAGTTGTAACCCCAATATTGGGTTTGACACCCAATATTGAGCTAAAACTCAGAATTGAGATTTCAATATTTCAATTCTGGAGTCCAGAATTGAACCTTTTCACTTCAAGTTGGAGCTTCCAACTCCAGTATTGAAGTGGCGGCGGCCGAATTCCATTCGGGGGTCTTGAACTCAAATGTTGAGGTCGCCGTTTGAATATTTCAATTCTCAATCGGCCGGGGACCCACCCAGGGATTCGTTACATGTTCGCCATGTGGCTCTCGCCTCCGCGCCGCGAAGCATGGATGGAGGGTGGGCCGCTCTCAAAATGTGGCCCTCTTATAAGCGACGCGCCCTTCCGTCCGACGCGCGGAAAATCGCTAAACTGATTGGCGGGCGGACAGTCATCAGACTTCGACTTGGGATCCGACCGGGGAACTGGTCCAGAGAGCCATTGGTAATCATGCGCCACCGGGCGGGGGAAATTCCACAGAAAGAAGATTTTCGAAACCAACCCAGCAAACACTTGAGAACACATGTAAAGAAGCCGACGATTCGCACGAACCCCTCGCGGCAATGCCATAACACCACCCAAAAACACGCGCACAACCCGCCCTCACCAGACTTCGACCCGCAACTCCGTAACGATACATGCGAAACGCACCCGTTGAATTACACTGCTGCCGCGGTCAAGGCCCCATCCCTGCAAGCGACGCACGCGGTCTTCCTGAGGGAAGGGGCGTGGAGGTTCACTCGGCGCCACCCCCTTGGGGGACCGGTCTGCAAGGCCACTTTTAGCCGTTGGCGCACTTGGTCTTCTGGGCCACCGAGTCGCGCTAGGTGGACCTATCCGCCCAAAATCCGTCCCTGCCAGACCCTTCCCGGGGGTCATCCTGGCCCGTTTTTCAATATGGAACCCGCGGTGGCGACGAGAGGCCTCCGCTGAGAGGCCCATCGAGGCTGGAAAGCCCCAAGGACGGGCGCATGTGGTTATCTCGACTGGCCAGGCCCTCCTCCGATCCTCCGCCCCCCCGCAGGAAGCCCCCCAAACATAACTTTGTTCACAATGTGGCCCCCCCGGGGTCTTGACCCATTTCCCGGACCGGCTTTTCTCGGCTACGCGAAAAGAGTGACCCTAGGCAAGAGTTGCCTTTGGTGCGCAGCTTGAAGGGGGCGCCGCGGGGGCCAAACCCAAGAGCGCAAGCCGATGCTATCGCATCGCGCGCAGCGGTCGGAGGACTCCAATGGGCCGGACTGCAGGTCTCTCAGGCGAAGGGTTACTCATACGTGTAGTCGATTTTCGTTATGAATTGTTTGCCTACGGTCCCGGGGTCCGTCCATGGCCCCAGCGGGGGCGAAAACGGTGCAGAACGTCCCGCCCCGATATTTTTGTTCCCGACGCGAGGGGGCCCGGGACATGCTGAAGCGCTTAGAGAAGCTATCAGCCCTCTAGCTTGCCTGTCCGCTCGAGCTAAGATGTGAAAACTGGCAGCACCTGCTAAAAATTCCATATCAGTCGGTTCCCAGAAGTCTTTTGGCAGCAAGGCCGCACCTGCGGAGAGCTCATCTTAAGACGCTGAGCGCGCCATGACCTGCTGCAGGGAATGAGCATCGCGCTCCACCATCTGACCCATCAAACCCGTGCCGAATCTTGAGACAGCCGAGCCCAGGTTACCACTGGTCGGCGCTGGACAAACCTCCCTTTAGTAGACCTCCCCTTAGTGAAATCGGCCTGGGACCGAAACCGACGGACCTGGACCCGCAAAAATGACGGCCGCGACGCCCTCTCGCGAACCGAAAACGGCCAATTCCTTACTCGACGTGTCAGGGTAGGAGGTCTGTCCACCCCCGAACTGGGTGCGTCGTCGACGCCGTCGACGCTGCTCGCGCGCGGGAGCGGGCCGAGCTGTCGCCCCGCGGCGCCGCCGCCGCCGTGGCGCCGTGGCGCCCCTCCGCGGGCGGCTCCTCCGGCGGCCTGCGGCGACGCGTCGTCCTCGTCGCCGACGGCGTGGGCGTCGTCGGCACCCGCGGGTCGTCGCCGGCGTCGGCGTCGGCGTCGCCGCCAGTGCCTCCTCCTCCTCCTCCTCCTTCTCCTCCTCCTCCTCCTCCTCCTCCTCTCCTCCCCCTCCTCCTCCTCCTCCTCCTCCTCCTCCTCCTCCTCCTCCTCCTCCTCCTCCTCCTCCTCCTCCTCCAAAGGAGGGGCAGGGACCAGGCAGGAGCGCGGAGGTAGGGGCCAGGAGGGAGGGGGACTCCCCCCTCCTCCACCACCCGCAGGGCTCCCATTGTGCCACACGATGGCCTTTCTCCTCCGAAGTTGTCTCCACCTTATCACCCTCAACCACATGGGGGGCGCGGGCAACAATCTCACGATGCCAGGAGGGAGGGGGACTCCCCCCTCCTCCACCACTCGCAGGTGCTCCCTTGTCCCACACGATGGCCCTTCTCCTCCGAATTTGTCTCCACCTTATCACCCTCAACCACATGGGGGGCGCGGGCAGCAATTTCACGATGCCGGCATTGCTCGCCAAGGTGAGAGCGGCAACGGCGAGGACTTGGACCCCGACGGAGCCTCCGATCTGGGCCAAACTGGCGCGCTATCCCCCGAGACGCCGACCGCGGCATCTCTCCGATGTGATCCAGATGGACCGAAAAATGACGGCCAACGGTCAGATGCAAATCATCCGTGTCATCACGATTTTCTCTCTCTCTCTCTCCTCCTCCTCCTCCTCCTCCTCCTCCTCCTCCTCCGATGGATCGAAATGACGGCCAACGGTCAGATGCAAATCATCCGTGTCATCACGATTTTCTCTCTCTCTCTCTCTCTCTCTTCTTCCAGTATTTCCCCCAACGCTCGTACACATGCACGTGCTTCGCCAGGCTCCGTTGCAGAGCGCAGCGGCGTCCAGGCGTGCCGCAGAAGGGAGCTCCCCGTCTGTGCTGGCGATGAGATGGAGCGCGCTCCACAATCACAACATGACAAATGCGGAAGATGTCCCGCCCTCACTGCGCATGGCCTTGTTAGAAACCAGGTAACTATCTTTACTGGATGTTTCCTGAACATTTGATTTCCGTTGGATCGTTTTCGGTGGTTCATCATTGTATCCCAATCGGAGTGCGTGCGGGCTTTCCGAAAACGGTGTCTCACAACTGTATTCCAATCGGAGCGTTGCCGGGGTGTCCAAAAGCGGCCCCTAGTCGCAGAACAACGCCGCCCCGATGCTTTCCATACGTTGGAGGTCGAAAGTGGTATTGATGATGCTGATGGTGTTGGGGATGTTGATGCTGATGCTGTTGATGCTGCTGATGCTACTGATGGTGATGATGGTGATGATGCTGATGATGATGATGATGATGACGATGACGATGATGATGATGACGATGACGATGATGATGATGATGCTAATGATGATGATGATGATGATGATGATGATGCTGATGCTGATGCTGATGCTGATGCTGATGATGATGATAATGAGAATGATGATGATAATGATAATGATACTGATACTGATAATGATGAGGATGGCGATGATGCTGATGATGATGATGATGATGAAGATGAAGATGATCATCATGATGTTGATGATAATGATGATGCTGATGATGATGCTGATGATGCTGATGACGTTGATGATGCTGATGACGTTGATGCTGTGGTTGGTGCTGGGTCTGCGCCGCGATCGCCGCACAGGGGGCGCGCCTCTCCCGCGGCGGCGAGCCCCGGCGCGGCTCCCCCCGCGGCGGCGAAACAGCCGCCGCCCGCGGGGACGGCGTCCGCCGCCGCGGCGCCTCGGGCGACGACGCCGCCCGCGGCGGCGCCGCCCGCGGCGGCGCCGCCCGCGGGGACGCCGCCCGCGGGGACGCCACCCGCCGCCGCGGCGCCTCCGACGACGACGCCGCCCGCCGCGGCGGCTCCGGCGAAGACGACGCCGCCCGCGGCGGTGGCGGCGCGCCCGCGCGGCGGCGAGGCCGCCTCGCGCGCGCGGGCTGCGCGGGCCGCGGCGCCGCGGGGCTCCGGGCTGCGCGGCGGCGGGGGCTGCGCCGGCCGCGCGGCGGGCAGCGGGGCGGCGGCGCCTGGGCGCGCTGGGCCCCTTCCTCGGGCGGCGCTGTCGAGCGGCGACGTCCAGCGGCAGTGGTCGTCGTCGTCGTCGCCGTCGTTATCCTGTCCTCAACGTCGTCGTCGTCGTCGTCGTCGACGTCGTCGTCGTCGTCGTCGCCGTTGTTGTCTTGTCCTCGACGTCGTCGCCACCAGGGTGATCCTCGTCGTGGTCTGGTCTGCGTCCTCGTCCTAGCGGCCCTCCAGATCCCGAACACTCAAGAGCCTGAAAACCAGAAGGGAGGTGTGAGGAGATGCGTGGAGGAGGCGCAGGGAGGAGCCAGGTGGAAGGCGATGCGGAAGACGAAGAGGGTCGGAGGCTGCAGGAGCAGTAGCAGGAGCTGGAGCGGGAGGGCGCGGACGACGAGGGGGCAGGAGGCGTGGGAGAGGGGTCGAGGAGGAACTGGGTCCAGTGCGTCACCGAGGAAGGTCAATGTGACGTCTGGCATGGGGCCTGCCTGTGGGCAGAACCCCCCATGCTGCTTGAAAACACTGGGGGCTCACAAGAAAGGGAGGGTGGCCCACTGAGAAGGAGCCTCGTGGCCGACGAGAGCGCTCATGCTGCGCTCTCCGCCACCAGAGCATCAAACATAATGCCTCCGCCGGACCCCCAAGGGCAGCCCAAGACGAGGACTGGAGGCAGCAGGAGCACGAGCTGGAGCGGGAGGACGCGGACGAAAGCGAGGGGAGCAGGAGGCGTGGGAGTGCAGGACGAGGAGGACGAGCAGCAGCAGCAGCAGCAAACAACACCAGCCGCGGGCAGGCAGGCCTGCTCCCGGGCCTCCCTCTGCTTCTACTCTGCATGCACCTCTTCTTCGCGCTACCCCAACTCTTCTCCTTCTCTCCTCCCTGTCCTTTCTGTCACCCCGTTTCCCTGCCTCTGTTGCTGATGTCCATCCCCCTCCTTCCCGTTCTCTTCCTCCGACCCCACATCTCTCCGTTGTGTTCATTGCCCTGCTCCTTCAGTATCCTTTTCCAATTGCAACTGCTGCTGCTGCTGCAGCTGCTCCTCCTTCTCCTCCTCCTCCTCCTCCTCATCCTCCTCCTCCTCCTTCTCCTCCCCCCTCCCCCTCCTGTCCCCTACTTTCCCTTCACCACTGTCGTCATCCTGCTCCTCCTCCACCTCGCCGTCTCTCTCCCAGGCAGCATCCCCTTTCTGAGAATCGTGCCGTTTCATCCTCCTTCTCCTCCTCCTCCTCCTCCTCCTCCTCCTCCTCAAGCTCCTCATCCTCCTGCTCCTGCTCCTCCTTTTCCTCCTCCTCACCCTCCATCTCCTCCTCATCGTCGACCTCTCATGCATCTCGTCCTTTCATTCACCTCACCCTCCTGCCCACTGCATCCCCCTCGCGCATGACTCATGACCGTGCGCATCCTCCCCTCCCCCTGCCCCCCCCCCCCCGCCGCCTCCGGAGCTCACTCGCAGGCTACTGCTCTGCACGGCAACGACGAGGCGGTTGCGAGGGCTGCCCCCTGCCACCCCCTTGCCCATGCCCGTGTGTATCCTCCATTCCCCCTCCCCTCCTCCCCAATCCCCCCGCCTCCTCCTGAGCTCACTCGTAGGCTACTGCTGTGCACGGCAGCGACGAGGAGGCTGCGGGGGGCAAAGCACCTCAGACACATGGTCTCGAGTGCACGCCTTTCCTTTCGGCAGGCATGCTTGTCTCGTGCACTTCTCTTGCTGATTGCACCGCCGACAACTCTGCGTCTTAATCCGCACCCGCCACCTCCTCCTCTCAAGGCAGAGCGAGCTGAGATAATGGCAACTCAAAATCGGTCCCCGGATCCCTCTCGGGGTTCAAACGACCGATGATTCGAGCTACGCCCAGCCGTGAAGACGAATGCTAGCTACAGTTGTCTTAACTCGCCCTCCTATGATCTTCAGTCTCGCCCTTCTCCTGACACTCCGCTCCTCCTCTCCTTCGCGCCTCCACCAACGACGACGACGACGAAAACGATGACGGCCGCAACGACGACGACGACGACGACAACGACGACGACGACGACGACGACGACGACGACGACGACGACGACGACGACGACGACGACGGCGGCCGACGGCCACGACGATGACGACGACGACCACGACGGCGACGACGACGACGACGACGACGACGACGACGACGACGACGACGACGAGCCCGGGGGCCGACGGCCCTGCAGCCTGGCCTTCGGAGGGCGGCCGCGCTGGCTGCGCCCCGCAGGGCGGTGCCGCCTCCTGCCGCGGCCGGCGCCGGAGGCCAACAACGGGGGCGCTCGGCAACTTTAAAGGGGCCCTGGGGCACACAAATGAATACACACAAATAAAAATATTCCCCCTATATGTTCCTATATATTTTCTGGGTTTTTGTCTTCCCCCCCACTTCCCATATTTTCCCATATTTTCGGGGGAATCGAGGATTCATTGTGTCTGTGTGTGTTTCTTTTCCTCCTGAAACTTCGCATTCTCTGGAGGCGCCCTCGGCGGCGAGCGAGGGGCCTCGAACACTTCGCAGGTGGCCGGGGGGCCTCCGAGCCTGCTGAGAAGGCCAGGGGAACGAAGATGGCCATAAACAGAAGAACTCGGAGGTCCGCGCGGATTTCTCGGATCGGCGCTGGGGCCCCCCGGCGGCGCCTCCGGCGCCGCCCCTGGCGCGCGGAGCGCGCCAGGAAGAGGGCTCCAGCGCCGATCCGAGAAATCCGCGCGGACCTTCGAGATTTTTATGTTTATGTCATTATTCCTTCCCCTAGCGCGCTCCGCGCGCCAAAAAACGGGGGATCCAGCACCGATCCAAAAAAATCCGCGCGGACCTCCGAGTTTTTATGTTCCTGCTTTGTTCCCCTATAGGGGAAGCCTTCTCAGCAGGCTCGGAGGCCCCCCGGCCACCTGCGAAGTGTTCGAACCTTCCCCCAAGACACAGAGAACCTCTCGGAGGGCGCGAGGGCTTCGGAGAAGTCCCGCCACCTTCTGAGGAGGCCTCCTCCTTCTCACTTCCCCCCCCCTCGCTCGCCGCCGATGCCCACAAGGGGGTGGCGCGAGGGGGGGGGGCTTCAACTTGGACCACCGCGAGGTATGCTCGGCGGATGAGGGGGACTTCTGAGTGGATGCCAAAGTGGGTCATATCTGGGCCTAAGCTAGATTAGAAATGGACCTGAAACGCTCCAATTCCCAAATGGCCAAGGTGGGGAACAGATCCGGGCCAAGGGGGCTCCACCCGCATACCGGAGTCATTGAACCCAACCAAGCCACTCAGAGCACGTGTACCCTTACCCTACTTGTAAGCCAGAAATCACACCCTCTATCCACTAAGGGCCCTCTCCCGACCTTCTGAGAAGCTGCCCTGGCGCCTTCTTAGAAGCCCATCTCCCTCGCGGCACCCCCTCGCGGGCACCGCCAACTCACGACCGGCCAGCCTGCTTAGCCCTCACGTGGGAGGCACCTCCTGGGAGGTCTCCGTGGGAACGACGCAGGGCTATATGTGCCTGGGTAATGTGACGATTCAAAAACAAGTCGGACAAGGATGCTTAACTAATGCAGTCGGACCTCGGACATAATCACATCTTTTAAGAACACGAGGCCCTCCGCAGGCAAAACCACACAGAACATCCAAGGGCATCCTCCCCACGATGCACAAGAATATCCAACAAACGCCAAGAACATGTGGTACCCTCCCCGAAACGACCTCGATCTTGTACCTCGGCCCGACCGTAGTTTTGTTCTCGTCTGGGCCGCTGGCTGCGGACCGGTGGCCTCGACAGCGACGACAACAACGAACAAGGAATAACTTTCGCGCCACCGGCGGCGCTCAACCTTGAACGCTCGCGGCCGAGCCGCCGCCGCGTGGACACACACGCAGTTAGCGTGCTCGACCGCGTCACGATGCACAGCCAGACTGGTGGTGGCGAGGCATGATGGCGGCGACGAGGTGACGGCACAACCAAACTGACGACGGTACGGTATCTTTCATCAGGGGCACGACGAGGTACGCCGAAGCTCTGCCGGTAAAGCTCGCTGAGCAGCCAGTCGCCCTGGAACACGTCATCTGGTGTCTTTACCTTCTTGCGTGTCGACGAGAAGAACAGGTGATCAGCCAGGAGCGATCCAAGCACAGGGATAGTGAGACTTGACCTCCTCCCACTCTCCCCTAGCCCCCCTCTTCAGCCACCAGTACCACCCCCACCCCCCCAGAAGGAGGCGAATCTCGCTGTACCAGCGGCCTGGGCTGCCCTGGGATAGGCGAGTCGACTGAAGAACCGCTCGAACACTCTGCGCTTCCGCCCCCACCTGTGGGTGTCGCAGACGAGGTCCGTCTGGTTCCTGAAGCACGAATACTGGTGCTCGTACTTCTTTTGGGACCACTGCCCGCTGGAGTTGTCCGCCGTGGCACCCCGGTCGGCGTCCCAGGGCTGCCAGTAGACCTCGCCGTAAACGTGCGGCGACACCCCGTCCTGGGGGATCAACTGGGCTCCGGGGCCCCAAAACCGTGTGGTGACGGACCGCGTGGTGACCTTGAGATCTCCAACAGCCTCACCGCGCGGTCCGTCACCACGCGGCTTTGGGACCCTGGAGGCCCCAGTCGTCGGAAGCACCCTGGGAGAAGGGCCCGAAGCCCAAAGCCGCGCGGTGGCCCTAACGTCCCCACGGACCCACCACACGGTGTGGCCACCCAACCGTGTTTGGGCCCCCCCCCCTGTAGGCACTGACGCCACTGCTCCCCAGGCCTCTCCCAGGGCACCTTCTGATGAGGATCTCGAGGCGAGTGCAGGCGGGTGGTAGGGAAGCTCCGGGTTGCGCCCAGGCAGCTCCCCCAGGCAGCCCGGGCTATAGCCTCCACAGGCCTCCCGAGCAGTCCCAGCTGGCTTCAGCAGGCCCCCGAGCAGTCCAGGGCGGTCCCGACGCCCCAGCCCTATACAGAGCGCGCCCCACTGGCCATCGCTCGGACGTCCATTCCCTGTGCTTTTTTCGGTTTCGTGCGTGGTTTTTCGCGACATGATCAAGGATGCTCCTCGATGGTCCTCGCCGAAGGAAAAATGCACACGCCCGAGCGATGCCAAGCCCAGGGGCGCCGCCGGAGCGGGGCGCGAGGGTGTTGAGACAACTCTGGACTACTCCCGGGGCCTGCGGAGGCCAGCCGGGACTGCGCACCTGGGGGGGCTGCCTGCGCACAGCCCGAAGCCTCGCCAGCGGGGGGCCCGCAGGCAGCCCCCCCGAGAAGGCCGACACGGAGCCGTCGGCGTCGGCATGCTCATTCGCCCCAGGCGTCCTCGCCGCGCAGGCAGAGCAGGCGTTCGAGGGCGCCTGGGGGCAGCGCGGTCGCGTTGCGGTGGCCGCGCTCGACGGCGGCAAGGATCGCTGCGGCCTGCGGGCCAGTCTTGGGCACGGTCTGCGGCGGGGGCACGCAGTTGCAGTCGCGGCAGGGCCCAGTTCCCAGCGGCCTGGCGTCGTGATCGTTGGGGGGCGACTTCAGGTGCTCCAAGTGCGCCCACGGGATGTGGCACTTGCGCTCCTCTGGCTCAGCGGCGAAACCCTCGTGACAGCAGACCCTGCCGACGCACCCGAGCTGCTTTTCCTCGCAGACGCGCGTGAGCTTCGCCTTGATGTTCTCCCACCACGTGCGGCTCCACGGGTTCCCCCGGCGCGCGGCCAGGAAGTTGGACGCGAAGGCACCAGGATTGTCCTCGCCGCACGGGCCTGTCTGCTTCAGCTTGCCCTGCCCGAGTGCAGCGTAGGCGACGACATCCCATCCTTCGCTGAGGCGCCGTTGGACCGACGAAAGCGGGCTGGTGACCAGAAAGTCGGTGTCAATGTAGAGCCCGCCGTGATGGTACAGCACCGATGCCCGAATGACATCGGACTTGGCGGCAGAATAAGGCAGCCTCCAATACTCTTCGGGGAGGTCCGGAACAAGACTGCGGATGTTGCTGTCGTTGACCAGCACCACCTCCGCGTCGGGGGGCGCATTCGAGCGCCAGGACTGCAGGTTCTGGGTGGCAAGGCTTGGGGGTGCGCACTGGCAGCCCCGCAGGCGGCCCCCGCTGGCCTCACAGAAATGGCGCACGGGGTGGGGCCACGGCAGTCTCGACGCCCCCCCACGGGGGGGGCGCGGAGCGCCACAGGGTGTCGGCCCGAGGCGGCGCGGCGCGGGGGTGCGCAGACCGCCCTGGGCACGCCCTGTGGGCCTCCCCGGGCCGGCCGGGACCGCTCTCCTCGGGATGCCCGTGTGCAGCCCGAAGCCGTGCCAGCACAGGGCGACCCACGGGTCCGGGCCGCGGGGGTACTCCCAGAAGTCGGGTGTTGCCAGAAGTGCCCCTGGCCCAAGGTGCCCGAGGATTTCCAAGGAGGCCCCCACGGCCTCCAGAGCACCCCTCGCGAGGCCCAGAGGGCCCCCGGGGCTTCGAAATGGAGCGGAAAGCTGGGGGCACCATGGGCCAGGGGCACCTCTAGCAACCCCCGAGGAAGGTGTAGATCCTGAGCGGCTCCGCCGCGACGCCCGCCTCGCTGGCGCCCGCCTCCTCGGCGCCCTCCTCGGCCGCAGAGGGCCACGCCAGCTCCGCGAGCGGCCCCAGGGGAGCCAGCGGCAGCAGCGCGCCGCTGGCAAGGGCCCACCACGAGCCCGCCGCCGCGAGGCCCACGACGGCGGCGAAGGAGGCCGCGCCGCGGCCGCCGGCCCCGTGGCAGCAGCACGGCCGCCGCTGGGACCTCGGCTGAGGTCACCGCAGGGGGTCGCTGAGGGGCTGGGGGGTTATGAGCGGATGCTCGCATGCTAGGGTGGGTTACGTGTAGCCCAACCCAGCTCTGCTGACGTGTTGCACGCACGTGCCCTGAGTGCCTTCAGGTGGGGGAGGTCTAGGCTGAGTGGGTTCTGCCCTCCGAACCGTTTTCGAACCTGCTCCAGGCCCGTTTCGGTGAACAATGTTTGTGGTGTTGTTTCGATGAAACGTTTCTCTTGCACATTTCAGAAAAAAAGGAAATCACTTCGTTTACAAAACAAAAATCAAAAAAACGACTCTGCCGCTTCCAGGGCCCACTACGTAAGCCTCTGGCGCGGCCCGCTAACCTCCAACGTGTCGAACAAAAACGCCACGGTGCTTCGCACATTTCGTCCTCGGGGGGCCTTCGCCGGGGCCGTGGACCCTCGAGAGACGACACGGGATAACCAGCCCGGGGAACAACTCAAGCCATCGGATGCCTGGGCCCAGCACCGGGGCGGTCCAGGTTACGGCCCCCTAACAAGCAGGACACTGCTGACCAGGACTCTGAGCAGTCCGCCCGGGGCCGACGAGGAATGCAGACTGTCTCGGCTGCAGGCTGCAGGCTGCATCGGCGCGCCCCAGTGTCCTGGTTTATCAACAGCCCCCGCTTCCCATCTCTCGGACGTCCATTCCCTGTGCTTTTTTCGATTTCGTGCGTGGCTTTTTCGCCAAATGATCAAGGATGCTCCTCGATGATCCTCGCCGAAGGAGAAATGCACACGTCCGAGCGATGCCAAGAGTGTCCTGGTCTAGCAGCAGCCCCCGCTCATGGAGCCCTGGCCGGGGGCCAACACGAGAGCACTGGGCAGCTCTGGGTGCCTGGGCCGCCTGGCTCCCCGCGCTGCGCCGCGGGAAGGGCGACGAACGGCGACGTCGTCTTCGCGCGCTCCCGGGGTCCGCTCTCTGATGAAGGCGGCGCCTCCCTGGCCCTGGCCTCGAGGCGCGACCCGCTTCTCCGAACCCCCACGGCTGACCTGGGGATCACGCGCGGCTGGATTCGCACAGGGGGAGTGCGGAGGCCGCGCGCTCGATGCATGCGCCTGGTGTGAGCGAGAGAGGGTCGAGCGGTGGAGAGGAAGCTGGACGCCGGTGCATCCAGACCTCGCCCCTGTTCTGCCACGGCATGCGCAAGCAACTTCCTGGTACCCAGTCCGCGACCCAAACACAAAGGGCGGGCGTGGTGGGTCTGCGGAAAGTAGATCATGGAGTGCACAGGTGGTCTCCGGGAAAGGGCATCCGAGCGCCAGAACACAAGGACCAGGCAGCCGAAGACACCACCGAGAAAATACAGTCAGAGGCAGTCCCACCCCCATTTACCGCCCTTGTCTCCTCCTTCTCCTCTCCTTCCCCTCCGCCCTCCCTCCTTCCTTCCTTCCCTCCCTCCCTCCACCCTCGATCCTCATCCGTCCACTCCCTTCCCGTCCTCACTGCTCGTTCCTTCATCCTCCCTCTCCCTCGGAAGATTAACATGATCAGGAGCACAGAAATGGGGAGGGAGAGGAAGCCGCAGAGTCCGCAACAAGACGCGCAATCCCCGCACCTTCTCCCTGCTCTAGAAATGCTCCACACATCACCAATAAACCTCCATTTCCCCGCTTCCCATCTCGCTTTATCCTCCGCTCTCTTCCTCTTCCTCTTCCTCTTCCTCCTCCTCCTCCTCCTCCTCCTCCTCCTCATCATCATCATCATCATCATCATCAGCATCAGCATCAGCATCAGCATCAGCATCATCATCATCATCATCATCATCATCATCATCATCATCATCATCATCATCATCATCATCATCATCATCATCCTTCCTCTCGTCCGTGTCTCCTCGCTCCCTCCTTGTCCCTCTCCCTGTTTCCTCCTCCTCTCCTCCCCTCCACCCTTTCCCACTGGAGGTTGGGGGAGAGGGGGGGAGGAGACTAGGAGGCGAGGGGGGGGGTATTGAAGATAAGCGGGCGGAGCGCGGGCTGTGGATCCTGGGCTGTTTGGCAACGAGTGGACAAGATCAGACCGCATGATGACCGCTGCTCCAGGGGTCGATGCGGATGTCTGGAGGGGCGGATCCCGGACGGGAGGAGTGAGACAGAGAGCAGGAGGGAGGAGGAAGGATGGGGAGGGGCGTGTGACGGAAGGAGGCAGGAGAAGATTTGGGAGGATGGGGACGTCACGGATTTCGCAGGCAAGAAAAAACACGCATCCCATTCCCATCGACCACCTCCCCCCTCTCCTTTTTCCTTCGTCGCCCCTCCTCGCTCGCCACTGCACGTCCCGCTTCCTCCCTCACCCCCTCCCCCGTCCACTCCATCCCTCCTTTCCTCCTCCTCCTCCTCCTGCTTCCCTCATTGCTCTTCGTTCTTCCTCCCTCCACCTCTCCATCGAGGGTGCAGCGATCAAGACCACCGACGCTGTGTCCTATTCACAATAGTGTGGGCCCCTCGGAGCCCTTGACCCGGGACCGGTGTCTCGCCACGAGTCGCTCATTGATTACCCTGGGGCTCGAGATCGGCGCCCCATGTGCTGGCTGTGATTGCCCCCAGTGCGCCCATCATGATGTGTTCGCGACGCCTGGGGATATAGGACCCCCCCCTCAAAAGCAGTCCCCCCACGTCCACATGGACGCGTCCATGCACGGATCTCGAGCGAATATCTGGCCGTGGTGACAATGCCCTCCTCCATACAGCAGGCTCCCTGAAACTTAAAACTTCTCCTTCCTCCTGCTAATCATGCTCCTCCATCCACCACCCTGCTCCTTCATCCTCATCATCTCTCTTCTCTCCTCATCCTCCTCCTTCTCGTCCTCTCTCCTCCCTCTCCCGCTCTCCTCCACCCCCTCCTCATCCTCTTTCCCCTGCTCCGCATCATCATCGTCATCATCATCATCATCATCATCATCATCATCATCATCATCAGCAGAAGCTTCATCATGAGCATCATCAGCTTCATCGTCATCATCGTTATCATCATAATCATCACCATCATCAGCATCAGCATCGTCATCATCACAGGCATCGACATCATTATTATCATCGGCATCATCACCACCATCGTCATCACTATCATCACCGATATAATCATTAGCATCAGCAGTATCATCATCAGCATAGTCGACATCAGCATCAGCATCAACAGCAGCAGCATCCTCACCATCATCAGCAGCATCAATACCATCATCATCATCAGCATCATCATCACCATCATCGCCGTCATGGTCATCATGGTAACCGTCATCATCATCATCATCATCATCATCATCACCATCACCATCATCGTCATCATCATCATCATCATCATTATCAGCATCATCATACCCAGCATCATCATGATCAGCATCACCCTCATAATCATCATCATCGTCGTCATCATCATCGTCATCGTCATCGTCATCACCATCACCATCACCACCATCATCATCATCATCATCAGCATCATCATTGTCATTATCATCATCAGCAGCATCATAATCATCCGCATCGGTATCATCTTCACCACCATCATGAGCATCGTCATCATCAGCATCATCACCACTATCATCACAGGCATCATCATCAGCATTTTCCTCATCACCACCATCATCATCAGCATCGGCATCATCATTAGCATCGGCACAGGCATCAGCATACGCAACAGCATCATGCACATCGTCATCACCATCCTCATCATCAGAACCATCAGCATCATCATACCCATAATGAACCCATCCTCATCATCATCATCATCATCTCATCATCATCATCATCATCATCATCATCATCATCATTGTGCCATCATCATCATCATCATCATCCCCATCATCATCCTCATCACCAGCACCATCATCATCTCATCACCATTATCATCTATTCACTACATCATCTCATCAGCTAGCCATGGTGTCATCACCAGCACCACCATCATCATCACCACCCTCTTCGTCATCATCATCTCATCATCATCATCATCATCATCATCATCATCATCATCATCATCATCGACATCATCAGCATCATCATAATTATCATCATCATCATCTTCATCCTCATCCTCATCCTCCTCCCCATAATCATCATCGTCAGCATCATCATCATCATCACCATTACCATCATCATTAGCATCATCAACATTATAATGATAATAATCATCATCATCACCATCATCATCATCACCATCATCAGCATCATCATCATCATCCTCATCCTCATCCTCATCCTCCTCCTCCTCCCCATAATCATTATCATCATCACCATCACCATCATCAGCAGCAGCATCATCATCATCATCAGCATCATCAGCATCATCATCATCCCCTCTCCGTCTCCTCGGCTCCCCCCTCCTCCTCCTCCTCCTCCTCGTCCCTCCTCCTCCTCCTCCTCCTCCTCCTCCTCTTCCTCCTCCTCGTCCCCCCAGCTCCTCCTGGATTGCGAGACGGCGGACCTTCCCCCCCCCTTCCCCACGGGCCACCAGGCCTGCTGCGCCCCATGGCAACCCCATCGCGTCCGCCGGGGCCCGGCGGCGGCAAGGGCGGGAGGAGGGGGAGGAGCAGCAGGGACTGCACGGCCACGAGGGGCAGGGGGGGGAGGGGGGGGGAAGAGGAGGAGAAGGAGGAGGAGGAGGTGGAGGAGGAGGAGGAGGAGGAAGAGAAGGATGAGGAGGGGGAGGAGAGGCTGGAGCAGGAGGAGGAGGAGGAGGAGGAGGAAGAGGAGAAGGATGAGGAGGAGGGGGAGGAGGAGGAGGAGGAGGAGGAGGAGGAGAAAGCGACTGGGCAGCAGCAGCAATGACTGCATTCCCAGGAGGGGCAGGAGGCGGACGAGGAGAAAGGGGAGGGAGCGACGAGCCACCCCCCACCCTTCCCCTCGTCGTCCTGCTCTTCCTCCCCTCGTCCCCCTGATCACTCGCGCTCCCTGACTCCTTCCCTCCATCCCCTTCCTGAGCCTCCTCCTCCTCCTCATCCTCCTCCTTATCCCTCCTCCTCCTCCTCCT